TCTTTTGATAGTTATCTATTTATCTGGTGAGATCTTAGCGTTACTGTTGAGTTCCACAATCTCCTAATATAGTAAAAACACGAGGTTTGTTGTATTTACTGTAAACGATGTTTCCACTTGTTTTTAGCTTATAGTGAAATCTATTGATCTTGCCTCCTGTGGGTTCCTTTTATCCCCTAAGCCTAAAAAGTCCTGTCTCCGGAGACTTCAGAAATGCTCCTTTCTGCATCTCCCCAATAGTTTTCATGATTTGATTTTTTTGCCCTTAATTCTCTTAATCCATTTAGAATTTCATGTCAGAAAGGCAGGGTTCCACAGCTTTATTTCTCATTCACGATCGGCCGGCTGATCACCCCAGTGCTCGTGAATGGTCCTCTCCCCTTGCTGGTGAACATGATGTATTCTATCCGTAGACGTAACATGGGGCCTCTTTCTGAACCGTGTGATCTTTTTCACTCGTCTGGCCATTCATGAGGCTGGGTGTTTCCTGCTTAGTAAAACTGCGTGATTTAGACTAAAGAGACGGTTTTTCTTTCTATTAGGTGTCATCTCCATGGGAACTAGGTAGGATTACATTTTTACAGAACAGAAATGCAAAGGATTGCAAAGACAGCAGATATGGCACAAAACAGGCTGTTAGTCCAAAAGTTAATTACCTGCAAGAAGTTGCCAGCTAATATCTATCTAAAGTATTTTCTAGGCACATTTGTGGCTATCATATTTGTAGAGCTCTTTTCACCCCGAGAAGGGGCCTATGCTTAATAGTTTCTTTTGTTAGCGTACTATGTTTAGGATGTTTAGAACAATCATGAGCATTTTGTGCAATGAGAGCACATATTTATCAAACAAGCCAGAATGCCAGCAAAATGTTTGAATTGAAGCATTTCCTTCATCCCTGGCCCCTTCATAGGGTACCAGCATCCAGGAGATTCATTAATTAGCTTTTAAGTTGGTCCTCATTCAGTGAAAGAGGAGCAGGAGAGCTCTCGGCAGGCAACACAAGAATCCACAGCAGGGCGAACAAGAACAACAGCAGAAAAGGGGGGAGGATACAGGGTGGGGTAGAGGCCGAGGCCAACCTGGAGGGTCCCTTATCCTAGACGGCCTTGCCTGTCAGGTTCTTTCCCCGTGACCTCGTCATGGATGGGGTCCCGGACGGCCTTGCCTGCCCGGTATTTTCTTCATGACCTCGTCACGGGCGGGACCCCCCCATAACGGCTCCCGGCAGTCCAGGATCAGCGCCCAGGGTGGGGTCAGGACAGAGGTCCCCGGCAGGCCTGGGTGCTGTGATGCATCCGTGATGCCTGCAGGCCCGCCGGTTTGGCTGTGCAGCGGCGGGTTCGGTGGTCTTCGAGCAGTGACCCTTGCACCAACTGTGCACACTTAGAAGGCTTTCCGGGGTGGGGGGCTGCCCACAGCCCCCACCTCACCTCCCAGCCCCCTTCAAAGCAAGGCAGACCCCGCAGACCCAGGGAGGAGAAGAAGTTTTAACTAAAGCACTCAGACCGCCAGCCCCCCTCAGCTTATTCAGAGATGCATTTCTCATACAATTTTACTTCTTAATAATTTCTCAGAATCTGTAATATATTTGTACTATTTGAACCAGTTATAGAGCAATGATAATTGTAATGATAACTCAACCTGGAAGACATTTTTATAACCTCAGCACTGAAGGTCACAGTAAAAACTGTAAATTTCCATTTACATACATTTTCTTGTCCTGTAGAGATGTGATAGGGTGATCAATGGAAGGTCTTCAATCAAAAACAAAGCATCCTTTTGGGGGTAATATATAACCTTATTCTGTGTGGTTGGTAGAATTTCAAAGGGAAGAGGAATAATGTCAAGATTTTACTAAAGAAGAGGCTGTTGACATATTTTTGAAACAAATGACAGTGGGCTTCAAATCATTGTTCTTGTTTGGATAACTTTTGTTGCTATGTTTGAAGTTTATGAACCTTTCCTTTGGGATGGGTAATTCTGTTGTTAATACCACACACTGTATTTTCTTGTCTCAGACATGGTATTTTAATCTCTATATTATTGATGTGGGTCTTTGGAATTTATTTTATGTCTCTTCTTGACAGGCTGCTGTTTCCCCTACGTTGCGGAAATTGTGGTTTTTTGAGTTCTGGCGGCTCTGACGTCCTGGTCTGCTAATTCTCACGTGTGCCTTGCGCCTGCTTTTCTCTTTATTGGGGTTCTTCTCCTCTCATTAGGAATCCCATTTCCCCACTTCTTTGCGGGTCTGGAAATGTTTGATTGAATGCCAGACACTGTGATTTTATATTGTTGGGCTGAATTCTTTGTATTCCTTTAAATGTATTTGAGCATCGTTCTGGGCACGGTTGAGTCACTCTGGAAGAGTTTGTTGCTTTTGAGGCATCCCTTTGAGCTTCCCGAGTCAGAAACACGGAGTGACTTTCAGGCTTGGCCAGTTTGGCTCAGTCCAGAAGTCACCCTTCTGGGGTCTCTCCTGCTGCCTTCAGTCACAAGCCCCCAAGGGACCCCACCAGGCCACGTGGTGCTGCCTGCCATGGGTGGGGGCAGGCCTGGAGCCGGCCCTCCTCAGGGGACACGCCCCCTCCAGGCCAGGTTTCCTCATCTGAACAACCAGGGCTTTGGATGGTGATCCCGAGAGTCTTTCTTGGAAATCTGGTTGTAAGATGTCTCCATTTTTAAACGCTGACTGGCCGGGTGACAGGTTTGGCAGAAGCAGAGCTGCGCATAAAGCCAGGTCTGTTCTTTGCAAAATTCCCGCACTGACCCGAGGAGGCTCAGTGGTTCACCTTGCAAAGGCATAGCTGCTGCAGCCCCTGTGTCTCCGGAGGGGCGTCCTCCCAGGACTGAGTCAGGGTGGCCACACAGCATGCGTCTTCCGGAGCCGCTCACTCAAGGGCGGGGCTGGGGACCCTTTGCTCAAACAGGTGGGTGGTGTCTGCCATCATTTATTTATTCCTTTAAATTTGGCATCTCGGTACATGGTTTGCAGGATCTTAGTCCTCCAACCAGGGATTGAACCTGGGCCCTTGGCAGTGAAACCATGGAGTCCTGACCCCTGGACCTGCAGGGGATTCCTTACCATCATTTAGTATAGTGTCTCTCTTTGATCCTGAGACTTGAGCTAGCAAATTTTAAACCATGCTTATGATTTGAATTCTAACTGAAATAGTAGTAAATACAAGTCTAAGATTTTTTTTCTGTGATCAAAAAGTTGTGGCCTTCTGCCTCCAGAAGACAGAGCAGACATACTTATCCCTGTTCCTCCCATTAGTACAATAAAATCTGGACTCTGGTCTAAAACAAACAGAAACAGACTGAAAGGTGGGGTGAAGAATGTAGGGCAACTAGGGACCTTAAGACCCAGGAAGACACAGCGGTGAGCTCCCTGGGTTTTCTCCCAGGGTTGGAGTTGAAGAGGCCAGCAAGTCAGATGGACGCACGGGCACAGACAGAAGCGGCCCCAAGGAAAGCCCAGCCTCTCTGGCCGGAGGGCCAGCAGCAGACAGCTTGCTGGGGACGCACAGATGGCAGACAAATGCGTGACAATGGTTACCAGTGGTGATGAGGGAAATGCAGATTAAAGCCACAGCGAGACATAAATCGTACCAAAGTTTTCCTAGGTCAATCTCCCAAGGCAGTGGAAATAAAAACAAAAATAAACTAGTGCGAACTAATCAAACTTACAAGCTTTTGCATAGCAAAAGAAACCATAAACAGAGGAAATATTTGCAAACAACACAACCAACAAGAGCTTAATTTCCAAAATATCAAACAGCACATAAAACTCTACAAAACAGCAAAAAATAAACAACCCAACCAAACTATGGGCAGAAGACTTAAATGGACATTTCCTCTAAGACATACAGATGGCCAATAGGCACATGAAAAGATGCTCAATATCACTAATTATTAGGGAAAAGCAAATCAAAACTACAGTGAGGTATCACCTCACACTGATTAGAATGGCCGTCATCAAAGTCTACAAACAATAAATACTAAAGAGAGTGTGGAAAAAAGGCAACTCTCCTACACTGTCGGGGGGATGTAAATTAGCACAGCCACAGTGGAAAACAGTATGGAGATTCATCAGAAAGCTAAAAATAGAATTACCATATGATCCAACAATCCCACTCCTGGATGTACATCTGGACAAAACTATAATCCAAAAGACACATGCACCCCAGTGTTCATAGCAGGACTATTCACAACAGTCAACACGTGGGATCTACCTAAGTGCCCATCAGCAGATGAACAGATAAAGAAGATGTGGTACATATATACAATGGAATATTACTCAACCGTAAAACAGGAGGAAATCATGCCATTTGCAGCAAACAGATGGACTGAGAGATTATCATAGTAAATGAAGCAAGTTAGAAAAAGACAAAAAGCAACGTGATATCTCTTATATGATATCTCTTTATCTCAATATAAAATATGGGGTAAATGAACTTATCTAAGAAGCAGAAACAGACTCACAAACAGCGAGAAAAAGCTGGTCGTTGCCAAGGGGGCGGAGAGGAGGGACAGGCTGGGAGTCCGGGATTTGCAAACGCAAACTCTTCCATGTAGAATGGATAAATAACGAGGTCCTAGTGTAGAGCACAGTGAACTGCATTCAATATCCTGTGATAAACCATAATGGAAAAGAAGATGAAAAAGAATGTATATATGTATATAACTGAGTCACTTTGCTTACAGCAGAAATTAACACAACACTGTAAATCAACTATACTTCAGTTTAAAAAGTAGGTTAAAGGAAACAAAACCACAATGAGATACCACTTATCAGAATGGCTAAAATAAAAAGCAGCAGCAACACTAAATGTGGCAAGGATGCTGGGAAACCGGATGCCTCACACGCTGGTGGTGGACGGTCACAAGGCGCGGCCTCTCTGGAAAGCGGTTTGCCCTTACACGTTCAACTGGGTCTGACCGGAAATTGCACTTCTAGGCATCTGTGTCAGAGAAATGAAGACTTAGGTTCACACAACAACCTGGGCATGAACATTTATAGCAGCATGATCTGTAATAACCAACCAGCTGTCCCTCAGTGGCTGAGGGGATAATGTGTCCACACTGTGAGTATTACAGCCGCAGTGGTCAACACGGATGAATGTGAACTCTGCGCACACAACTTGGATGGAGCTCCAGAATTACACTGAGTGAAGAATGCTGACTCCAAAAGGTCCTGTGCTATATGATCTCATTTCTATAACATTCTTGAAATGACAAGGTTACAGAAATGGACAGCAGATTTGTGGTTGCCAGGGGCTGAGGCAGGGATAAAGGTGGGGGCGGAGATGGAGATACGATGGTCTCTTTGCTGACGTTCCAGAAGCCAGCGCCTTAGTTACGATTCCTAGTGTCTCAAGATGCTTCCCCTGTGGGAACTGCACGGGAGTACACAGGCTGTCTGTATCAGCTCACAAGGCTGCATCTGAATCGACACTCATCTCGAAGTTTATTTAGGAATAAGTCACAGCACCTCTAGGAAAGCTCAGCCTTTAACTCACTCACAGGTGAGTCAGAGCTGCAGCCTGAATCACACACGTCTCCTTTCAACACAAAGGGACGGTGGGGTAGATTCACTTCTGTAGACTAGGAGTGATGAGTCACAGCCAACTTGATGGATCAAAATACAAGTGTGTTGAAGTCAGGGCAGAGGTCTTACTGATGAGAACCTCGGGCGTCGTGAGAAGGACGGCGTCTTCTCCATCAGAGGACTTTCGCTGTCTGGTGTGGCGGTCACCGTGGGGGGATGTCCCACACTGAAGAAGCCCCGCTTTCGGGCTCAGGTGGACTGACCGTCTCACTGGGCCGGTGGTTGCCCGTCCGGAGCCCCGTCTGGCCCTTTCTCTCCTGTGACCTCAGGCTCCACCAGGGGCATTTGGGGTGAGGGGGGCTCCTCCCCAGAGCTCCTCCCCCAGAGCTGGATCCCCTACTTGCTGATGACCAGGAGCAGTGTCTCTACCCGCTGGGTGGACCCCTGGGCCTTCTTCCTCCCTGCTTATAGGCTTTACTTGGTGAGACTCATGCTTTGGGGACTTGAGAACAACCTCCTAGAAACCTCTGGGAGGTCATGTGCCTGGCAGGCGGACAGGGAAAGGGGACCACCCGGCTGTGTGCAGCCCTGCCCTCCCGGCCAGGTGGGCCGCGCCCAGCTCCTCCTGCTCTCCACGGCCGCTCTCGCCAGAACCCAGGGAGTGAACTGGAAAGTTCCCTTTCCTTCCTTCCTGTCAAAGGCCACCACCCAATTTTCTTCAAACTCTACTTCTGATGGGGTGTGCACAATATCAGCACACATGTGACTTCTTTGAGAACGCCATGGTTAGAAATAGAGGTCACAGCCCAAACCCTCAAGAATTCTAATCTCTCTCCAGAGACTCATGAAAACACTGCATGTTATTCTAAGGGTCGAGTCAGCCGAGCGCAGTCAAACGAGCCCGTTCCGCACACGTTTCATTGGATTTGCAGCTAGTCTTGCCGATACCAGTGAGGGCCTTGCCACAGGAGAGGGCCTTGCCACAGGAGTGCGCCAGCCCTGACGGCTTCCGGGTCTTGTCCAGTAGGACGTGTGTCCCTCAGTGCAGATGCTCCGTGCTGTGAGTTTGCTGAAAGACCATGCTCCGGAACTAGCATGTCTGAAGTCGGGGTGGGAGGGGTGTGGAGGGAGGCACCTTGGAACCACCGCCACCCAGGTCTGAGCTCCCCGCAGCCTACAGCCCGCATGACTGGCCACCTCTGTCACGGCTGGACCTTCCCCCTCCTCCGGGCGTTTGTCGGATGGCCTGTACTTAGGGGGTCCCTGTGGGATATGACAGGGAGCATCCCCCCCCGCCCCGGTCACGGCCTTGGATTTGCACAGAACTGCCCAGACCAGAAGCATCAAACGCAGCCTTTGCTGGCCTTGGGTCAGCCTCTTAACCCAGAGAGCATCCATGCCAACGTGACCGGCTCTGCAAGGTCGAAGCCTCTTTGTGACCCTGCTCACTCACCCCTTGCTGGGGCATCACCCTGGTGACGCCTGTGTGTTGGTGGTTTCCTTCTACCTGCTCGCTGGGGGCGGCGCACCAGCCCATGGGCTCTACATGGAGAAAGCTGGATGGAGGCCTGCAGGACAGAGGTGGGGCGAGGTGTACAGACCGGCCTCCAAGGTGACCAAACCGCGGCGCCAACACGCCCTGGGCCGTGAGCTGTCTCTCGTTTTAAACCCTCCGGACACAAAACAACTCACTCAGAGAGACCCAAGGGGCGCTCTTCTGCTTGATTTATTACCTCCTCGGAGACCCTGAGACTTCCCTAGCGGCTCAGATGGTAAAGCGTCTGCCTACAATGCAGGAGACCAGGGATCAATCCCTGGGTCGGGAAGATCTCCTGGAGAAGGAAATGGCAACCCACTCCAGTATTCTTGCCTGGAAAATCCCATGGATGGAAGAGCCTGGTAGGCTACAGTCCATGGGAACACAAAGAGTTGGACACCACCCAGCAACTTCACTTTCACAGAGACCCTGAGATGGGGGTGGGCAGACTGCACTATCGACCTGATCATTTAAGGACTTCCAACCAAAGCGGGGTGCACATGGTTGGCCGGGGCCTCATGTGGGTGCTGGTCTGGAGCGGGGAGAGTGAGAGGACCTGGCAAGATGCCTGCTCTCCTCCTGCACCCTGGGCTTCCTGGACACGCCAGCTGCGGAGGATCTGATCCAACCTCATGATCCAGGTGCCGGCACCACGAGGCAGGCTCTGACCACGCGCGAACCGCGCGCCGAGGTGCTCACGTGCGTCCTCGGCACGGGGCTGCCTCCGGGTCACGCCCCATGGCCCGCGGTCAGAGTCACCCCGCCCCCTCCCACCAGCACCTCAACCCCCTGGCCTCGAGCCTCATGAACAGGCAGCCCAAGGCTTGACTCTGACTCTGGGTCTGTTCTGCATTGAGGTTCAGACGGTGTGGGCGGTGGCTCCACGCAGAGGGACAGTTCCATGCACCTGGCGAGGGCCGCTCCGACCCAGCCCTGCTCCCAGGGGGCCGCGGGAGACCGAGGGCCTGCCCTGCGCTGGGCCCTTAGTGAGGCCAGCTGGAGGGGGTCAAGCTAGGAAGGCGAGTGCAGGGCTGCACAGGAGAAGGGGTGGGTGCTGGGAGAGCGGGTCCGAGGGTGGGCAGGTGGGGGGGGTAGAGATAGGCAGGTGGGGGGGGCGGGGCGCCCCTGAACCGCAGGTCTCAAGCTGCTGCTGTGCCCCTCCTCCACCCCGACCACTCACCACCGGGCTCTGTGCCCTGCCGTCCCTGCAGGATCCGTGAGGGGCCGTGAGGGGCCGTCCGGGATGGGCAGCTTGGGCTTCAGAGGCGGGCCGGAGGGTCTCGACCACAGGAGACCCTCAGGGAGAGCGGAGGGGCCGACCCCGCTGGCTCCAGCCCCCGCATTGACTCGGGCCACCCCGGGAGCGGTCCCGAGGGCCCCGTCCAGCAGGCGCCCCTGGGGTCCTGCTCAAGCCTGAGCCCCACTGGCCAAGGTCGGGGCTCTGCAGAGAGTGCGCCGCAGCCCCGGGCACCATCCATGTTGCCGCGTGGGGTCCAGAGCCCCTGGTATACCCGAGGGGGAGGCTCTGCGGCGCCCAGTGAGACCTTGCGCTCCCAAAGCCTCTGTCTGCCCTCCACCCGCCCCGTCCATCTCCCGGGTGACAGGAAGGACGTAAGAGGGTGACGGCGTCCGGGAGACGAGGCGACCGCGGCAGCTGGCACTTCACCGGGTGTGGGTGTATGTGCGCCAGGCCGCGGGTGCAGAGGAGCACGTGACATGGGCCAGGGGCCCCGGGGCACTAGCAGCCTCCGTGTCACCGGGGCCCTGGGGCACTAGCAGCCTCCGTGTCACCAGGGCCCCGGGGCACTAGCAGCCTCCGTGTCACTGGCGTGGGCGCTGTCTCCTTGGATGTGGGCGGAGCCGGGGGCGGCGCTCCAGCCAAAGGCTCAACGCGCATGCGCTCAATGCAAGCGAGGCGTGGGGAAGGGGAGACCCCCCCCAAGCTGCTCCCCGGGAATCATCCCGTCAAGCGCCCCTTAGGGCACGCCCCGGGGGTCAGGCAGGGCCCTGGAGTCCCTGCCCCGGGTGTGGGCGGGTGGGACACCCCGCACGCTCCCAGCGGGCTCTGGGGAGAGTTCGTCTGTCCACACTCGTTTCCATAAATAGTGACATCAGCACACTTACTGTTTGTGCCCAAACGCATGCTGGAGAAAGGCAGGATCTCGCCTTTAGGGAGCTGCCGGGCAGGGGCTCGAGGCCTGTTACTGCATCGAACGAAAGCTCTCGGTGCCGGGAGGCCAGGGCCTGGGTAGCGGCCGCTCAGCGCCCCGGGGTCCAGGCGGCAGGCAGGGGGCCCAGGCAGCCTGAGCCGTGCGGTCCGTGTGAGCCTGCGGGGGGAAATGCGGGGGAATGTGTTTGGACGAGCCAGCGGCTGGGTGGGCGGGGCCGGCTGTGTGTGGGTGGGCCGCTGCCTCCCAGTGTGGGCACCGCCCGGGCTCCCCCAGCTCACCCTGCCCTTCCTCTCCTCCCAGACGGCTGGTGAGGCTGCCTCTCTGTCCAGGAAAGGCCTGCGGAGTTTCATTTTAAAATAAGTAAAACATAACACTCCAGTTTTCAGAAAACACTGAGGAAGTGCTCTCTGGGGCGGACGGCAGCCGGCGAGTGTCACAGGGGCTCGGAATTCCCTGTGATCTGAGGCGGACACACGGCCGCGGGGGTTTTTGGGGCCGGGGAGGTGGTCTGGTTGCCGTTGCTTGAAGGCAGTTGCAGAGAACATACCAGGGATGGTCACAGGGGTCCTAGGGGTGTGGCCAGGCGTCTGCGTCTTGGTCCAGGAGACGCTGGACCTGGGGACGCTGCAGGGCAAGCGTGGGGCCAGGTCCCTGCTCACAGAAGGCCGAGCCCCCCACCCGGAGCTCCAGGCCAGTAGGAACCCATGGTCCTGCAGGGCTCCCAGACCTGGCCTGGAAGAGCCTCAGCAGTGCACCGGGTGGGTGTCTAAGCACAGCCTGGAGGCCCTGGGGACCTGGGGACTCTTTTGTGTGTCTGCAGGCGAGGAGACTGGCGTGGGGGACCCAGGCAGCGAGGGGGGCAGGACCTGGAACCCCTTCGCCTTTTAATCCAGGCAAAGCTAGTGGACTCTCCCAGTCTCACACCAGATGCTAGGCGCTGGGACACGAGGGGAGCGGGGGCAGCCCCAGGCCTGGGCCAGTGGGTTCAGGCATCCAGGCTGGGTGACGGGTGAACAAGCCAGGGTGGGGCCTGGTGCCCGAGGGGTCCAGAGTGCCCGCGCGCCCGCTGAGGCGGCTCGGTCTCCTGGGCTGAGGGTGCGACCCCTTCCGAGCTGGTTCATGGGCCCCAGGGGTCCCGGCCGCCACTCCGTTAGTGTCAGAGAAGCTCGTGTTTCAAACCCGCTCCTGCCATCCGTCTACCACACACCCTGTGAGAAGCTGGGCCCTAACTTTAGTCCCAGAGTCTTACTACAAGGGGGCCAAGAATAAACATGTACTGATCGCCGGTTACCCGAGAGGCGGGGGAAATGTGCTTCCACAGAGAGGAGGCCCATCGGGGGTCGGGCGGAGGGCAGGCGGCCCCTGCGATGGACCATCGGGGGTCGGGCGGAGGGCAGGCGGCCCCTGCGATGGACCATCGGGGCGCGGGCGGAGGCACGCGGCCCCCGCGGTCTGTGACGTGCTGCACAGTCCGGCCACAGACGCGGGCCCGCAGATGCATCCCCGCCCACCCTGCCCCTGGGCCCCAGGCCCCGTGTAGTCTGCTCACAGTGCGCTTTCCCTCAGCTGAGTGAGAAGATGTAGAGCGGCCGCAGGCGAGCGACCGGCCCGGACGCGCGGCTGCCCCTCGGGCCGCCCTCACCATGTCCAAAAAGGGCGCAGGCGGCCGGAGCAAGGGGGACAAGGCGGAGGTCCTCGCCGCGCTGCAGGCCGCCAACGAGGACCTGCGGGCCAAGCTCACCGAGATCCAGATTGAGCTGCAGCAGGAGAAGAGCAAGGTGGGCGCGCCGCCCCGCCCCCACCCGCCTGCGTTGGTTTCTCCTTTTGCTGAGAGTGTCCTAGAAGGTAAGTGAGACTTGTGTCGTTTGGGCTGAAGCGGTCCGGGGGGCAGGAGCCCCCACCCCCTGCCCCCCATGGCCGTGCCCCCTCCTTGGCGGATTCGTTTGAGAGGTGCTGGTTTCAGCCTTTGAGCACGCAGGTTTCCGGACACCCGTGCGTCTGCCCTCTGGCTTCCAGGATTGGAGCCTGGGGTGCCACCCACGAGGCTTGATTCTGTTTTCAACCCGTGTTTTAACGAGACCTTCCCTAATAGACGGTAGCTCCCCTCTCTGCAAGAACACGCAGCCTTTCCGAACGCCGCGCTCGGGTGTCCGCCGACGCAGAGTGTGGCTCCGGGCCGACCGTGTCTCGTTGTGCCGCAGGTCGGCCGGGTGGAAAGGGAGAAGAACCAGGAGCTCAGGCAGGCGCGGGAGCACGAGCAGCACAAGAGCGCCGTCCTGCTCACCGAGCTGAGGACCAAGCTCCACGAGGAGAAGATGAAGGAGCTCCAGGCGCTGCGGGAGGCGCTGCTGCGCCAGCACGAGGCCGAGCTGCTGCGCGTCATCCGGACCAAGGACAGCGAGAACCAGCGGCTGCAGGCGCTGCTGCACGCCGTGCGCGACGGCGGCCCGGACCGGGCGCGCACCGTGCTGCTGTCCGAGGCCAAGGAGGAGGCCAAGAAGGGCTTCGAGGTGGAGAAGGTGAAGATGCAGCAGGAGATCTCGGAGCTGAAGGGCGCCAAGAGGCAGGTGGAGGAGGCGCTGACCCTGGTCATCCGCGCCGACAAGATCAAGGCCGCGGAGATCAGGAGCGTGTACCACCTGCACCAGGAGGAGATCTCCCGCATCAAGAAGGAGTGCGAGCAGGCTGGAGTGGGGCGGGGCCGGGGGAGGGCCGCATGGAGCCGGGCGTGGCCGGGCAGCGCTTGGGCTGTGCTCACGGGTGGGTTCCCCCCGGGTGGGTTCCCCCCCACCACCAACCCTACCCCGGCACAGGGCGCCTCGCACCTCTGCTCTTGGCTTGCGGACTCCAGAGAGGCCAGGCTGCTGAAAACAGCAGGATGCGGTTCAGAACTCACCAGTCAGTGGCCCAGGGCCCAGGAGGCCGCAGTCCTCCCCGCTCCACGCCACCTAGCTTTCCTTCCCAGCTTGGTCAGAACGAGACCCCCACGAGGGGGCCTTCCCCTTCCCCCCCAAAAGGGTTATGAAAGGCGCCCCGTCTTGCAACCCCAGGTTAAGCTCAAGGCGTGCAGGGGCCCGTTGGATGGCATGAGCTCCGGCTCCATAACCAGCAGGGTCTGCAGTCTGTGAGCTCGCTGGACCCAGAGAGGGGAGACCAGAGGCCTGCAGGCAAGGATCTCGGCCGGGCCATGCCAGCGTTCCCGAACTGTGCAGTCTGGAAAGGCGTGGCTCTTCACAGTTCAGGAACTCTGTGCATCCCCTGGCTTGCCAGAGCAGCTGCCCGATGCTCCCATGCCCCTGTGAGGAGAGGCTTCGGAGAAGCTCAGAGGTTGTGGGGGGTTCCGCTCGATTCTCCTCATTCCTTGGAGCCTGGACCTCCTCGGTCACTGGGGGGAAATGAGCCCGTCACCCTTGCTAGGTGCTTCATCAGGACGCAGCTGGCTTTGCAGCTGGCCACGCTGGGGACCCCTGGATGCCCCTTGGAGCATGCAGCCAGCTTTCTTCCAGCACGGCCATGCACCCAGGCCACCTCTCCCAGCCTCCTGGGCTTCTGGGTTCCAAACACCACCGTGTTGATTTCCTGGAAGCGTTGCAGTTGCTCTGGACACAGGGCCCAGATAGGAGCTGGGGGCTGTGAACAAGCACAGCTCTGTCACGCTATGTGTGCGGGGCCCAGACACCCCCACCCTGGGTGGCCCCCTCCCCTTTTCTGGAATGTCCCCTGTTCCACGCTCCCCCTTTGAACTCTGCATCCATCCCTGGGTCGTGTGTTGGCACCAGGTCAGCACCCACTGCCCAAATCCACACCCTCTCCATCACCTCGATTGGCCTCAGTGTTCATCATGGAGGCTCATGGCCCGATTTCCTTAACCACAGGGTCACAACAGAACCGACCGAAGTCCTCAGCCTTGACCTGGGCTCCCCAGAGGGACCCACTTGCAGTTCTCCTAGCTGACTCTTCCGAGTTTTCTTCCGAGTCCTCAGAAATGTGCCTGCACCTCTCCTTCTTGATTTCTCAGGTTTAGCTCCTCCTTTGCTTCCCCGTTAGCTCCCTGCCCCCCAAGTCCCATTGGCCAGGTCTCAGCAGGACACACAGCACGCCGCAGACAGGGCGGGCAGCCTTGCAGAGCCCCAGTGGCCCTGGTGGGGCCTGGCTGTGGCCCAGGGAAGGGGTCAGGGCAGGCGCCGCCCCTGTGGGCGAGGGCCTCGGACGAGAGGGTGGCTCTGGGGGCACTCGGACCAGTCAAGGAGCCGAGGGAGCAGGTGCCCAAACGCCCACTCCCCGGGCCCTGCTCCTGCTCTGGTTCCCAGGGCCTGGGAGGGGGGGCACCGGCCAGGGAGGAGGCTGTCGGGACACGCTTGCTGGTCCGTCTGGGCTGAAATGAGCGTTTACTGTTCATGTCGCAGGTGCTCTGTGAACGTTCACAAAAGACCCACCATGGCCCACAATGAATTACCTCTCTTGTACACACTTTTATTTTCCTTCAAATTACTTTTTTTTCATTTGCTTAATTTTCAAGTGAATGGGTGCTAAGTTGCTTCAGTCGAGTCCAACTCTTTGCGACACCCCTGAATTTCCGGAGGAAGGAGTCCCCTGTCAATACAGTAAAATTATTAACAATTCTGCCCATTTCTGTGTTCTGAGACGTCCTTCCTGGACGGACTGCTTTCCTAAAGCGGCCCAAATCCTGAATTCCCTTTGTCACCATCCCGGCAAACCCTCCTTCTCTCCTGTGTAAGCCCCCTCCCTTACCTTCCTCCTTCTGGATGAATGTTTCTCATCTGGGGGAAAGTACGTTCTCTAATCACCTCCTGGAGACAGAAGGAGGGAAGTGTGTTTGTGCGTGGAGTTTTTATTCTAACCTCACTCGCAGTGGATGCTGTAACTCGATGTGGTATTGGAGGTTGGAAAACCTTTATTAGAATTTGAAGGGATTTCGGCCTCGTCTTCTGACTCTGCATGTTGCTCTAAGAAACTCTACGATATTCTGATTCCTGGTCCTCCCGCATCCTTCCCCAGAAGTTACGGAACACTGTCCCTGTGCTCAGAGCTTCGCTGAAAGTTCAGGCTGATCTGCCCGTAGTGCGAGTACTGGTTCACCCAGCTTACCAGGCGGCCAGAAACCTTCTAACCGGAAACTCGTGTCTCTCGGCTCTGGGAGGCTTGATTCTGCGGTTTCCTCCCTCTCCCTCTCCCTCTCTTCCTTCTAGAAGCCCCATCAGCCAGATGTTGAGACCTGGACTTGATACTCTGATTCTCTTAATTTTCTCTTCAACCTTGGGTTTTGGTTCTACTTTTGAGGAAATTCCCTTGACTTTCTCATCTAACTTTTCTGCTTAATATTTTTGTTTCCTTCTTCATAATTTAATCCTCCAAATGTTTGTTCTCTGAAAGTTTGGTCATTCCCCTCTTACTCATAGATGCAACATCATTTTATTTCCCTGGGAATAATATAATACTTATATAAGAAATGTAATACTTGCATTTTTTTACGCTTCTGTCTCTGTTCCTTTCATTGTCTGTGTGTCTCAGAGCCTCTTTTGCCTTGTTTCATCCCAGCTGCTGTCTCTCACGTTGGAGGGTTTCCTTGAGTGACAAGGGCTTTATCTTAAGGTGAACTGGAAGAGATTCTGCCATTTTCTTGAGGACATTTTTCCTTCCACCTTTTTTTTTTCGGTCTTTCTCCACTGAGGAATTCAAGTCAGGACACTAAGGCGAAAGAAAGAAATTAAAGACATCAGATTGGAGAAAAAGAAATGAAACTTCTGGGGGTGACATGGCTTTGTAGGTAGAGAACTCTAAGGAATTTCAGATTGGAGAGGAAGAAATGAAACTTCTGTGGGTGACATGGCTTTGTAGGTAGACAGCTCTAAGGAATTCCCCCAAATGAACTATTGAATGAGTTCAGCAAGGTTTCAAAATACAGACACTACATGCAAAACTCAGTCATATTTTATACACAAGCAACAGACAGTCCAAAATGAAAATTTTAAAAATTCTGCTCATAATGGCATGAAAAATACAATAAAAGACGTGGGGATAAGTTTAACAAAAGGCGTGCAAGACTTGTACACTGAAAAGATGGGTGCCCAGCACAGTTGGGATGAACTGAAGAGGAGCCGAGTGGAGAGGTGGCCCCCGTCCCTGGGCTGGAGAACCAGGATCGCTGGGTGGGGGACACTTCTTGCCAAATTAGCATGAAGAGTAAACGCACGGCCTGTGAGAACCCCAGAAGGCTACTCTGCAGGCAGGGACAAGCTGATTCTAAAATTCACATTAAAACACAAGTGAGTATCTCCCCTGCTCAGTGGGCTGGCTCTTTGTGTCCTCAGTGATAACAGCTTTGTGAGCTGAAGGTTTAGATTCTAGAGTAGTCTCATTAACTAGGCTTTTCCTTTAGGGTTGGTGCTTATTGTGTCTTGTTTTAGAAATCCTTTTATTCTGAAGCATGGAGATTTATGTTTTTAAACATTTATAGTTTCATCTTTCATGCACAGGTCTTTGCCCTGCTGTAGCATGTGTATGTGTGTGTGTCTGTGAGTGTGTGTGTATGAGTGTGTGTGTGAGATATGTAAGGCAGAGACCCAGTTATATTTTTTTCCATATGGACATATAGTTGTTCTAGCAACTCTTTTTTAATTTTTTTTGGCCATGGAGCATGGCATGCAGAATCTTACTTCCCACCCACTAACCCCCAATCTAGGATCAAACCCATGTCCCCTACAGTGAAAGCCCTGAGTTTTAACCACTGGACAGTCAGGAAAGTCACATAACAACTCTTAAAAAAGACCATTTGCCCCCCAGTCCTCTGCCATGCATTAAGTATTCTTAAAATGAGAGGGTGTTTTTTTCATCATTTGCCCCATCTCAAGCCTATTTTACAGGAATGACTCCAGTCCAATCAGCAGCTGAATTTCTGAGTATCAAGTCCTCCCACTGTGTTCTTCTTGAAGACTCAGCCCTTCAGGCTTCCATGGAAACCTCAGAATCATTTTTCCTAAAAAAAAGTTGAAATTTTTATTGGGATCATAGCTAACTGTTAGAGGACAAGTTTTAACAGAGGGTGTGATCATGATGGTTGTAAAAATATGTACTGAATACATGTCAAAATTTTTATTTAAATCAGTGACTAACAAAAAACAAGTAAATGTTACAACTGATTCGAACAAGGATTTGATCTGAATTGATTTCCGTTCCCTACCTGGCAAAGAGCCGTTGCAAGGCCACAAACATCCGCTAGATCATTGAAAAAAGCAAGAGAGTTTCAAAAAAATCTATTTCTGCTTTAGTGACTATGCCATAGCCTTTGACTGTATGGATCACAGTAAACTCTGGGAAATTCTGAAAGAGATGGGAATACCAGACCACCTGACCTCCCTCTTGAGAAACCTGTATGCAGGTCAGGAAGCAACAGTTAGAACTGGACATGGAACAACAGACTGGTTCCAAATAGGAAAAAGGCCCTTGGATAGCAAGGAGATCCAACCAGTCCATCCTAAAGGAAATCAGTCCTGAATATTCATTGGAAGGACTGATGCTGAAGCTGAAACTTCAATGCTTTGGCCACCTGATGTGAAGAGCTGACTCATTTGAAAAGAACCTGATGCTGGGAAAGATTGAAGACAGGAGAAGGGGAAAACAGAGGATGAGATGGTTGGATGGCATCACCAACTCGATGGACGTGAGTTTGAGTAAACTCCGGGAGTTGGTGATCGACAGGGAGGCCTGGCGAGCTGCAGTCCATGAGGTTGCAAAGAGTCAGACACGACTGAGCAACTGAACTGAACTGAACAGGAGGAAGTGTTTGCTTTGCTAGCAGTTTTCTCCAGGTAAACACCTGTCTCCGCAGAGTCACAGGATGGCCTAGTCACAAACAAAGGCACGCACCTCTGTGGAATCAGACAGCTCTCCAAGGCTCCAGCACTCCTAGAAAAGGAACCAATTTTGTGTTTTGCTTATTTTAGAGTCTTTTGCAGTTATTCCCTTTAGAATCTGTAATCCTTTTGGGGAATCTCCTTTAGTTTCATGTATATGTGTGTATATGTGTATATGTATGTATTTCACACACAAGGACACGCACACGTACACACAGGAGCTTCCCTGGTGGCCCAGATGGTGAAGAACCCACCTGCCAGTACAGGAGACCCAGGCTCGATCCCTGGGTTGGGAAGATCCTCTGGAGAAGGAAATGGCAGCCCACTCCAGTATTCCTGCCTGGAAAATCCCATGGATGGAGGAGCCTGGCAGGCAGCAGTCCATGGGGTCACAGAAGAGTTGGATACAACTGAGTGACTAAGCGCACACACACACACACACACACACACACACACACACACGCATATTATATGTGTATCATTGATGACATACCTGCCTGGCAGCAAGAAGACTGGTGTTTCGTCTCTGAGACCCCCACCCCTGCCTGGAGGCCCGCAGCTCCGCGTCCCTCTTAGTCCAGTGGTCAGGGGAGAGGCTGTAGGTCACGGTCCACCCACTGCACTTCCCGGTCAGCTGGCCTGTCCATGAGGCGCTGCCCAGACGGGCCTCAGGACCCATCGTCCCCAGCCCCACCTCCGCCCAGCGCAGCCACGATTCCCCAAGCCCAATCCTGTTACAGAATACACAAGGCGATCTTCCCAGTTTTCCTGGGGTGTAATTGACACAGTTACCTTACATCACTGTCTGGTGTAAACTGTGCACCACGGTGGTCTGACTTACCCGTGTGTAAAATGACTTCCGCCATGAGTTTCATCAGTATCCATCAGCTCACCTAGAGACAGCAAGAAGAAAAACCAGAAGAAAATTAAAAAACATGTTGCCTTGTGATAAGAACTCTTAAGATCTACTCTGTCAATGGGTTTCATATATATCAATATAGTCAGTGCTGTGTTTTTGTGCAATGTCAGCAAATTGGGAAAACGCCACTGTGGCCACAGAACTGGAAAAGGTCAGTCTTCTTTCCAATCCCAAAGAAGGGTGATGCCAAAGAATGTTCAAACCTCTGCACAACTCATTTCACATGCTAGCAATGTTATACTCAAAATCCTCCACGCTAGGCTTCAGCAGTACATGACCGAGAACTTCCAGATGGACCAGCTGAGTTTAAAAAAGGCAGAGGAGGCAGAGATCAAACTGCCAACCTTCACTGGATCAAAAAGAAAGCAAAGGGATTCCAGAAAAGCACCTGCTTCTGCTTCATTGACTACGCTAAAGCCTTTGACTGTGTGGATCACAACGAACTGTGGAAAATTCTTAGAGATGGGAATACCAGACCACCTTACCTGCCTCCCGACAAACCTGTATGTGGGTCAAGAAGCAACAGTTAGAACCGGACAAGGAACAACAGACTGGTTCAAAATTGGGAAAAGAGTATGACAAAGCTATATATTGTTACCCTATTTATTTAACTTGTATGCAGAGTACATCATGTGAAATGCTGGGCTGGCTGAATCACAAGCTGGAATCAAAATTGCTGGGAGGAATATCAACAACCTCAGATGTGCAGATGACACCACTCTAAGGGAAGAAAGTGAAGAGGAACTAAAGAGCCTCTTGATGAGGGTTAAAGGTGGGAGTGAAAAAGCTGGCTTAAAACTCAGCATTCCAAAAACTAAAATTATGGCCTCTGGTCCCATCACTTCATGGCAAATAGATGGGGAAAAGTGAAGTAATTGATTTTATTTTCTTGGGCTCCAAAATCACTGTGGATGGTGACTGAAGCCATGAAATTAAAAGGCGCTTGCTCCTTGGAAGAAGAACTAGGACCAACCTAGAAAGCATATTAAAAAGCAGAGACATCATTTTGCCAACCAAAAGTCTGTCTAGTCAAAGCTATGGTTTTTCCAGTAGTCATGTATGGATGTGAAAGCTGGACCATAAGGAAAGCTGAGTGCTGAATAATTAATGCTTTTGAACTGTGGTGCTGGAGAAGACTCTTGAGACTCCCTTGGACTGCAAGGAGATCCAACCAGTCCATCCTAAAGGAAATCAGTCCTGAATATTCATTGGAAGGACTGATGCTGAAGCTGAAACTCCAATACTTTGGCCACCTGATGCAAAGAACTGACTCATTGGAAAAGACCCTGATGCTGGGAAGGATTGGGGGCAGGAGGAGAAGGGGACGACACAGGATGAGATGGTTGGATGGCATCACCGACTCGATGGACATGGGTTTGAGCAAGCTCCGGGAGATAGTGGAGGACAGGGAGGCCTGGCATGCTGCCATTCATGGGGTCACAAAGAGTGGGAAGTGACAGTGACAGAAGAACAAAGAACCAGTTAGCATCCATCAGCTCATGGAGAGACAACAAAAAGGAAAAAATCAAAAGAAAATTGTAAAAGAATTTTCCTCATGATGAGAACTCTCAGAATCGATTAACAGCTTCCTTGTATATCACATGAATCAGTGCTCTGTTGTGCTATGTCAGCAAATAATGAAAAACACACGTGAAGTCTCAGCCGCAGGCCCAGCAGACAGGAGGAGCTCCGAGAATGGGGGTCAGAGTGAGCACCAGCCCCTGCCTCTTGTGAGCCCTGGCCTGGCCCAAGCCTCCTCACCAGGGCCCTTTCTTCGTTGCAATGCTGCCGGCATGAGGCCCCCTCCTCTTAGCCGATGGAGGCCCAGCACCTACTCAGCCTTCCGTTCGGGCTCCTGCTGGTGGCCCTGGCCCTGGCCCTGGCTGTGAATTCAGGTGGACACGCGGCCCCACTGTTTGAACACATCTGGAGTGACTCTGGGGGGACGGGGCGGTCTTGGCTGCAATGGGAGCTCCGGGGAACTTTCAGAGAAGGCAGGACTGGAAAGGGGGAGAGTGGGGGCGGAAGTGGCAGGTGGAGAACGTGGTCTGGAGGCCGGTCTGGGCCAGGCCTGGCCTGGAGGGGGAGCGGGCTGGGGGCTGCTCAAGGGCAGGGCCCCGCCCCGAGCCACTTGCGGGGCTAGCAGGGGTCAGGGGGCTTAGGGCCACAGGAGGGACATGGACCCAGAGCCGCGGACAGTGGCCGTGCAGTGAGGGCCACCAACTCCTCACTGGGGGTGACCGTGTCGACAGCATCGGGGATCTCAAGGACACCTGTGCAGAGACCCGGCTGTGACCACCTCGGCCAATGTTTGATAATCGCAGTTCCTTACAACCATCAAGCCAAGCGTTGCTATTTCCAGGGCTATGGCACGGGCCCTCCCAGGGGGTGGGGACGATTTCTCTGGGCCTGGGAGGAGGGCCCGTGGCTCTGGGAGGTCAGAGGTCAACTGGTGCTTCGTGGAGCACTGGCCTGTGGGACGCACGGTCCCCTCCTCCCCATCCCTGGCACTGCCCAACGCTGGACTCAGACCCCGTCGTGTGATGGCGCTTGCAGGCCGGGAACAGCCGTGCAGTGGCCAGCGCTCACGCAGGGCTGCAGCCAAGTAAGGGGAAGCCCAGGCCCCTGCTGTGGCCCAGCCCAAGGACGGAGCGTGGTGGCCGCGGGCCGCTTGACCGGAAGGCCGAGGAGCGTGAAGGGAGGCCCGGGCCTCCGTGTCCTCGTGTGGCCGGCACCCCGAGCACAGGGACTCTGCCCGGAGAGCTGCAGGTAGCAAACCTGGGGCTGAATTCCTGCACGAGGGGGCAGGGAGCCCGTCTGGACGGCCGTGCCAGCAGCTGGCCTGGCAGGAAGGGGGCCAGAGAGAGTGGACCTCAACATGCAGCGGCCACTTTGCAAAGAACATGACAACCCCCAAGTGGCCAAAAGCAGGAGGCTCTCAGGCAGCAGTGCGGCCAGTGAGGCTGGCGTTTCGGGCTGGGTCCCGCCTGCTCGTCCGAGCCCCTCTGGCCCTTGCCCTGGGACTCTGGCCTGTTTGGGGTCTCGGAGTTGCAGCTCACAGGGTCCGAGGGGGAGGCTGTGGTCATCTGTGGCCACGTCACAGAGCCAGCAGACAGTGGGCTGGCCCTGGTGAGGTTGAGGCTGAGCCCCCGCAGGGCCAGGTCTGAGCAGGAGCGGGATGACTGGGCGGAGCCAGGCCAGCTGTGGACAATTAGGTCCCTGTTTTGACCCCAGGACGCTGGGTGCTGGCCGGAGGTCAGGGCATGGAGGTCTCAGGCTGAAGTTGCGTGGAGGATGGGGACGGGTAGCCAGCCAGCACACCCAGAGAGAACCCGGGAGGCCCCTTGGGCTGCAAGCTGGCCCCTCCTGCAGAAGGGGCTCCCTGGGGCTTCTCCCTGGCGCTCACATCAGAGCGCCCAGGGGACCTTAGGAGGTGACACCCCAGGTGAGGCCAGGCCCGCTGTTCTCGCAGCCCCCACGACTGCCGCCCGGCTCCCTGGACTTTACAGAAGTGGAGTCTGGACCCTCGGGCAGCCCCAGGCAACTGCACAGTGTCCCTGGAGAGCTCCGTTCAGGGTGGGGCTGGCTCCTGTCAAAGTGGAGGGAAGCAGCCATCCGCTCTGACCTGCTCGCTGAGCTCAGGCACGGGCCCTGCGTCCCGCCCGCACCTGGCTGGTGACCCGCTCTGAGGCCAGGCTGCCTGCTGTGGGCGGGGAGGGGGCGGGACTCTCAGCCCAGGAGCAGCTTCGGGCACCCTCGAGCTCTGTCATTCTGGAATCAGGAGGGGATGTCTGTCGGGCACTCAGTAAGATACCAGCTCAGATGGCTACTAAAAATTCTACAAACCCAAGAAGGACAGGCAAAACCAGGCGCTGCCTCACACTCTGCTGTTTGTTCGCTCTCTGGGGAGCGGTCCTCCCGGGGCAGGTGTGTGCTCACCTGTCCGGAGCTGGGGAGGGAGTGTCCCCAGGCGGGGGCTGCCGCGCTGGGCTTGATGGTGACCCCCGATGGGCGTCGTGGGGCGTAGGAGCTGGAGACGGCCTCAGCTCGGGGGGTGGTGGTTAGACCAAGTCAGTGCTTCACGGACACCTGGTGCTGGTTAAGAGTGGGTCCCAGGCTCCCCCGTGGCTCTGTGCACCCGCCCTGAGCCTGCTCCGTGCTGGGGGTGCAGTGATGGTCTGAGAAGGGCGCCCTCTCCCCTCTGCAAGGGCAGTGCTCCTGCCTCAGCGTCCTGCTGCACCCCTTTTCTCAGGACCCATCGTCCCAGGCCACCCCCCTGGTTTTCATACCCACGCAACAGGGAGTGGGGCTGGGAGAGCCCGGTAGCCCCTGTGGAAGCAAGGACTCTGAATCTTGGTACCCAGGGACGCAGGGGAGTGGTGAGATCTGATTCTCTGGCTGTGTTTCAGGGCCGGGGTGGGGGGGCACGAGTGGACATGGGAGGCCAACTGGAAGCCGCTGCTTTGGTCCAGGTGAGGGCAGGTGGCCGGGACCCACTGACTTGTCCTGGTCAACTCCATGTCAGCTTTGGAAGCCCTGTCCTGGGCTCTGGGGAGGGCGGGATCCACTGGATGTGGACGTAGTTGTGGGTGGCGACACAGGCAGGGACGGAGTGTGACCCCTGCTCTCAGCAGCCCTGTCCTCCAGGACCCCACGGCCCCGACTGGGTGCAGCAGGGAGACCTGCAGGAAGGGGGCCACGTGTGCAGGGTTGCAGCCCCCAGAAGCAGGGCTGCCCGCTGAGTCTTCCCTGGCCGTCCCGTTACCTGGGTTTGAATTTGCACCCCTAGCTGGAAGCTGCCCCCAGAGTGAGATGGGGTCCTCATGTGGCAAAGCGCGTCCCCCCTCAGCTGGCCAGCCCTGCTGTGCACCCGTGCCTCCTCCACAGACAGGCCTCTGAGTCTAAACAGCAGGAGTGAGAGATGCAGGAGCATGCCGCCGGTTGAGAGCCTCGGCATTCGGGCACCATGAGGCACTGAGCACGAGGCCCCTGTGGACTCTGATCTCAGAGGTATTTCCATCCTCAGAGATCCAGCCCCGCCCTTGGGGGAAGCCGGTGCACATTCCCGTTGTGGGAGGATCACAGAGCTCCATGGCTGACCTGCCCACATTACATGGCGTGTGTGAAGACTTCTCCTGGAAGTCATCTTTCTGGTCTAAACCATCTGCTGAAATCACTGATTTGAGAGGGACTGTGCATGGAGACCCTTGTTTTCATGCTTCCTGACGAAGGAACAGAGACGTTTCCAAGGTGTCTGGGCAAGGGGCTAAATGTGAGGCCGGCCCCATGTTAGCGGGGTCACGTTGTCACCAGCCTGCTGGTTTCTGCTGACTGACTGGGCTTCCTCTCTACACTCTACCCTGTGCTCCAGGCAATGGGGGTTTAGCGGCTGACGGTTTCCCTTCTTCTGCTCAGCGCATCGCTTGGCCGTGAATTCTGTGATCTGGGCTACTTAGACATGGCGACTCTTTGTTCCAAGCTGACTTCAGCAGATGGCTGATTTATTAACTTATTCAAACCCTGCTCAGCAAGCAAAGCGGCAGCACAGCCTGTCCTGCTCTGCTGTGTGGAATGTGTCTTAAATCGAGTCCTCTTGTAAATCTGGTGCTGTTTGGGCATCCCCAGCACCAGCATCTGTCTCTCAAGAGTGGGTGGTGTGGGGGCCGTTCTGCCTGCTCCTCCTCCAGGGTGCCAGCCTGCCCTTCGCTCAAGGACGGCTCTGTGGCCTCCGGGAGGGGCCTGGAGGCAGGAGCAGCTGTGTCTGGAAGGGCCAGACACTGTGAGGAGCTTGAGCACATTAGGGAGAACGGAAGGGGCTGCGGACCCCCCCCAACCACCACCCGACCCCCCAGGCACCCCATCCCCTGCCAGTCTGGATCCTGCTGGCTCAGGGGCCACCCCCCAGCCCAAGGCTTAGCTTAGAGGAAGCTGAATTAAAAATGTGGCTCTGCCTGCAGTTGGGCAGAACCTGCCTTCCGTCTACACCTTGGAGCCAGGAGAGGCCAATGCAGGAGGCTGCATGTATTGGCCCCATGCACCATCCAGCCTTCCTGGGCCGGGCGTCCACAGAGCAGAGAGACAGAGGCCACGAGGGCTTTGGGGCCCACACCTCCTCTTCCTCCACATCCACAGTTGCCTGTTTTAACACGAACCTTGCTCATCCTGTTGACGGGGTATGGGGAGCCCGGGGCAGCTCTGCTCCTCCCAATACTCAGCAGAAGGCAGGGCGTAGAGGTGGCCTCTGTGGACCCCACTGACCGATTGGCCCCTGCAGACCAGCTGGGAGAGGGGAGTCCTACCGGGAGACTGGGCAGGGTGTACGGTGTCCAGGAAGGAGGCCTCAGCCAGCCCCTCCTGGTTGGAGCCAGGGAGTCGTGAGCGGCCTGGACGTGGGACATGCGGCTCTCAGTCCAGGCCTTGCTTCAGGTCTCAGAGCCCGAGAGTCTGGCAGGGCTGCTCAGTGGGGGTCCCTCCTGACGCTTGTGCTCGAGTCACTCTGCCTGTCTCTATGGTAACTGCACCTTACCTGCCTGCGTGTGTGATTGTGTTCTGTTCTGCTTGTAGATGGAGGAGATAAAATTTAAAGACAGAGCAGTCTTCGTGCTGGAGAGAGAGTTAGGGGTTCAAGCCGGGCATGCTCAGAGACTCCAGCTCCAAAAAGAGGCTCTAGACGAGCAGCTGTCCCAGGTCAAAGAGACCGACCGACACCCGGGCAGCCCCAGGCGGGAGCTTCCTCATGCAAGCGGTGCAGGAGACGCCTCAGACCACTCGGGAAGCCCTGTAAGCACCTCCCACGCTCGCCCGGCCGACCCAGAGCTCAGACTGCCCCGCACGCGGCTTGTGGTCCCATGGGCAGCTCCCTGGGGACTCCCGAGCCCAAGCCTTGGGGACTCTGCCCGTGTTGGCAGCCCACAGGCCAGGGGGACCCTCGTCTTCTCCGGCGTGACTGAGAGGGCCCGGAGACGTCTCTCTCTTCCCTCCTTGCTGCCGCAGCGCAGCAGGGGCCTAGCCCTGCCCTGGTGCCCCCCGTGGGTCTCAAGCCCCAGGCTTCCAGTTGTGCTGCCTCCCCCGCCAGCCCCAGGTGGCTAAGGGGCCCTCCCTTGCTGCTGGCGGAGGTGGCCCGGCAGCTCCATCACCGCAGGCAGGCTTTGTCCTCTGCTGGTGCTGACCCTCCTGCCATGGTTTCTGTGCTCGTGACCAGCTGCCCGGCACCCGCTTTCCTTGTGAGCACGCCACTGTCCGCACCTCAGGCTGCGTGACCGCGTGGGGCTGTGACCCCACCCATCTCCTCTCACTGCTCCTCATTCAGAGCCCTCTGTGGGGTCCCGGGAGTCTGGAAGGGGTCTACATTCCACGGACCCTCCACACGGTCCTTCCGGGTCGGCCCCCAGCCTCTCCTGCACCTGCTGAATGAGGAACTGTCCCCTGGTCCTTCCCGGACTCGCGTCTGTTTGCTTTGAGGACAGAGCTGCGTTTGAGCCAAGCCAGCCCTAGGGCAATGATCTTTCAAGAATGGAGCATGACATTTTACAATCTTGTTATGTAATGGCTTAACTGGGTTAAAACCAGCTCTGGCACCCGACAGATCCCATTAACTCCAGAGATTCTGAAGCCAGATCAAAATGTTTTCATTGATTTTTTTTTAGTAAGTTCCAGTGGCTCCCAAAGTGACCTTTTAGAAACTCAATTTGAGGGACCACTCTTCCTGGGAATCCCACTTTGGAAAGTTTTAAGCTGAACATCATTTCCTGGGCTCATAATATGAGGAAAATGAGACCCCCGCTACAGTGCAGGGCAGCCCCCCAACCTTGAAAGCTGCAGCCGGCAGTGGCCACGTGAAGCATGGTGCTGGCTTCTGGGTTTTCTCAGCGTCTTGCCCACCTGCGGCATCTGCATCCGCACGCCCTCGCCCCTACATCTGCGTACTCTGAACATGTCTGCTCCTGCATTCTGTCCCCAGCGTGCAGCCCGCAGTGCCCCCAGCCATTAGAATCATGGGCCATCGTGACACAGAAGTGCCTTGGTTTCCGTGGTGTGTTGGGACTTGCCATGGTTTTTCTGTCTGTTGTCTATGAACAGTTATTTGCAGTTGATTTTTGTTTTAGGAACAGCAGTTGGATGAAAAGGATGCTCGGCGTTTCCAACTTAAGATTGCGGAGCTGAGCGCGATCATCCGGAAACTCGAGGACCGCAATGCCCTGCTGTCGGAGGAACGGAACGAGCTGGTGGGTGGTCTCGGGCCTCTGAATTCTGTGGGCCTGTGTCTGCCATGGAGGGGGAGCTGGGGCATTCACTTCCAAAGTTTCCCGTGGAAAAGAAGAGTGATGGTGACAGGGTGTTTCCAATAAAACTTTATTAACAACAGCAGGTAGGGGACCAGATACGGGCTGAGGCGCTGGTTGGCTGATCCCTGCCCTGTGTCGCTGGTGCACGTGTCCCTGTTCTGTGTGTTGTCTGAGACGTGTGAGGACCTCGCCTGCTAGTGGCGCCCTCACCGTCAGTCCTTATGGCCACAGAGATTCCACCGTGACCTGTCTGCCGGGACAGGAGCTCTCCCAGGTGGCAGAAGGCTCATGGACTGGGCTGTTTCCCCATAGCTCTTTCAAGCAGAACAGAGTGCATCGCCAGACCTCTGTCCTCCGCGGAACACGAGGCTTGTTCTGCTTGCTTTACCACCTCTGTTTGGAGGCTGCTGGTTCTCTGCGGTGTTCTTTAAACCTCGTAATATATGATTAATCTCGCCTTTCAGTTAAAGCGTGTAAGGGAAGCTGAAAGTCAGTACAAGCCATTGCTGGACAAAAACAAGCGCCTCACTCGGAAGAACGAAGATCTGTCCCACAGCTTACGTCGGATGGAAAACAAGTTAAAATTTGTCACCCAGGAGAACATAGAGATGGTAAGGAGCCCATTCTCATGTAACTAGCCTCTCCTACGTGAGGTCTGATAGCAAGATCAAGGCTTTGGTCTCTCGGGCATCTGTGGGGCTGGGAGCTTGCCGGCAGGGAGGCCTGGGGGTGACCAGTGACAGAGCTTCTGAGATACAGGCAGCCGGGGTGAGGAGACCCCAGCTGCCCTTCAGCAGTCGGGCCCCTCACTCCACATGTTTGGTCTGTCTGGTTTGCAGAGGCAGAGAGCAGGGATCATACGGAGACCCAGTTCCTTGAACGACCTGGATCAGAGTCAGGACGAGCGGGAGGTGGACTTCCTGAAGTTGCAGATTGTTGAGCAGCAGCATCTCATAGACGAGCTCTCCAAGGTGACTGCTGGGCGCCACCCTGCCCACTGGCCCCACTCCCGGACCCACCCCGCTCTGCCGCCCACAGGGCACCCTGCACCCAGGACGCGGGCAGAGTCTCTCCCCAGGGGTTGGCTCCCGCCCCTCCTAATCCCCCCCTTCCTCACCTTCAGGCCTGGGGCTCTCAGAGCAGCAACACCGCCTGTGTCCACCCGGGGCCTCTCACAGCGCTGGAGGCGGGATCCAGAGTCAGGGTGGGGTAGGGCCGGGCTCCTGCCAGGGGTGCTGGGGAGGACAGGAAGCTTCCTATGGCCGCCAGTCACCTCCCTTTGGTCTCAGCCATCTTCCCAGCACCGCCCCCCCCCCCCTCTGGGCACCACCCACCCCCACCCAGGATGGTCTCCTCTCAAGATCCATAACCTAGCCACATAGACCCCATTGCCAAACAAGGCCACAGCCCCAGGTCTGAGGATGGGTGTGGGCATGTCTTTCTGGGGACCCAACCTCCATCTACGTCCCCCTCTCCTGCATCCCCCACCCCAGCACAGCTTTTCCAATAGTCCTTTCTCAGACCAGTTACCCTCATTAGGGCATCTCCTAGTCCTCTGTGGGACCCAGACCGACTCCAAGGTCAAACCAGTTCAGAACCAGCTGCTTGGGTTGTTCTGTGCCCTTGGCGGTGGCGGGGAGGGGGCTGCTGAGGAGAAGACAGTGGCGGCGCTCTCTGTCACTTCCCACCCGGTGGTCAGGATGGGCTCTGGCCACCCAGCCTTCTGACGGGGCCTGAGGTCAGTGCTCTGGTCCCTTCAATGGCCAGTGACTGTCCATCCCCTCAGTAATAGGAATGCATGAGGGGAAGAGGGAAACGAAACCACCCTGGTTACAAATGCACCCCCACCCCTGCCTCTGACGGCTCTCCCCCTTGGGGCTTCGGCCTAGGGAGGAAGAACCAAGCTCAGGGAAGGCCCGCCCTCTCAGGGAATGGTCTGAGGAGAGCCATGAGAATCTGCATAGGGAAGCGGAGAGACTGGGGGCCGGCGGGACCCTGGGGGTTTGCGCGGGCAAGGTTTGTGCCCCCGTCTCCAAGGTGCCTCCTCTCTTCCAGACCCTGGAGACCGCTGGCTACGTGAAGAGCGTGTTAGTAAGTGCCCTCAGCATCCCTCCTACAGCCCCTCCAGTTTCCTCACCGTCCCTCCTACAGCCCCGCCCACTCCCTCAGCGTCCCTCCTACAGCCCCTCCCACTCCCTCAGCGTCCCTCCTACAGCCCCGCCCCCTGCCCTCAGCGTCCCTCCTACAGCCCCTCCCACTTCCCGGGGCCACTGTGCCTATGGTCCCTCCGGTGCAGCTGGAAGCAGCCGCGGCACACTGGGGCGGGGGTGGTTCCGTGGTCTCAGTGCTGCCTGCCCAGAAACTTTGCCGTGGTAACCGAGAGAGCCCACCCGTTAGGGTTGCACAGATGCCAGGGAAACAGCCAGTGTCCCAGGTGGTTTTTGTAGGTTCAGAACTGGGTTCCCCTCGCACCCCAGGGCACTCGGCCCCCGCGGCCTGGCTTACTCCTGCATGGTCCCACAAACGCAGCCTAGCACTCTGGAGAGAACAGGCCTGTCTCCACCGTATGGACGTCACCCTGTAGAGGTCTACTCCAGGCGAGTGGAGAGAGCTGGACCCTCTGTCCTCAAATTTCCATTTCAATGTGTGCCCCTCAACCCCCTGCCCCACAGGGTCCCAACCCTAGATGGGGAGGAAGTCCCAGACAGTGAGCTCAGAGACACCCAGGCCTCCATTCCTGTTCCCGCCCAGGCTGGGAAGATGCACCATCCAAACTCTCAGAGCAAACTGCCCTGAGCTGGTCAACACTGGACCACCGGCTGGTCCTGAGACCACCCTGTCCACTCAGATAATGATCCGGAAATACTAACCTGTGCATTTAAACCTGGCAGAGCCGATTAACGACTCAAAAAATCTCCTCAACTGGTTTTTGCAGGAACGTGATAAGCTTTTAAGATACCGGAAACAAAGAAAGAAAATGGCGAAACTGCCCAAGGTAAACGAGCGCGCGAAATGTGTGTTTAAAACGTCGCTTAACAGAGAAGAGCCTCTTCCTCCAGAGGCGGAGAGAAAATGGTTCCTTACTTCTAAAAATTGTTACTGTGACCAAAACAGGACCCAGAGCAGGTACTCTGTTTATACTTTAAATTAAAAACCCAACCTGGTTTCCTTTAAATTCCCAAGAAGAGATGCGGGTTCACGACAGTAATAATGGGGAGGAGGAGTTATTCACGGGCCTGGCCCTCCCACCGCTGGCGCCCGCATCCAGCCAGGACTGCAGGCGGCCTCCCTGTGTCCTTCCCCTGCAGACCTGCGCCCCTTGAGAACTTGATAGACCTGGGGTGTGTCTTTGAGGCACAGTTCTTTTTGATAAACCTGTGATTTTTATTACATGAGATTTGGGAAACATTCCCAGAATATTCCCAAAGGATCTAACTTGTATCCTGCCTTTTACAAAATAACGTTTTTTGGTTTGGTTTTGGAACAACCAACAGTGATCCTCATACAGGCCTGTAGACACTCCTAGACACAAATACAGGCTTGTCTGGCCCCTAGAAAGGCCGTTAGGAGGGCCGCGTCCCACTCTGCCCTCTACCAGCCTAGGTAAGATAGTGGAGGCCTTGGTCAAGGTTGGTGGCCTGAGCAGTGCCGGGGGATAGACACCCAGGGTGCCCAGGATAGATACCGGGTGCACCGGGGGGCAGCCAGGCAGCTGACCCCACAGCTGGGCAGCAGAGGAGGCCCCTACGGAGCTGGCAGCTCGGCCAGCCAGCGACCTGGGTTTGGATTAACACAGTCCCTTTTGGTCAGAAGCCAGTTGTCGTGGAGACCTTCTTTGGATATGATGAAGAGGCTTCTCTGGAGTCCGACGGTTCTTCCATCTCTTACCAAACAGACAGGACGGACCAGACCCCATGCACCCCAGACGACGACCTGGAGGAGGTAACCTCCCATGGGGCTTCAGGGCAGGCCTGCCTGGCTGTTCCTGTCCACCTTCACGTCACTGTACTGGGTCCCCTCTGCAGAGTGGTATAGAGCGCTCCCACCCTCTCAAGGGGGGAGTCTGAACCACCCAGCAGCGGGTGGGCACCAGCACCCAGGGTTCAGGGTCAGGACCCCCTGGCTGGCAGGGGGCCCCAGCTGAGTCCCTGGCCCCAGCTGCTGGCCCAAGAGGCTCACCCAAGCATCCAGCTTGGCCATTCACCCCAGGGGTCAGGGCCTGTGTCCCGGGTCCCCGGGCGGAGGCGTGGCTGACCGGTGTCTCCATGCGCCTCTCCAGGGCATGGCCAAGGAGGAGACAGAGCTGCGGTTCCGCCAGCTGACCATGGAGTACCAGGCCCTGCAGCGGGCCTACGCGCTGCTGCAGGAGCAGGTCGGAGGGACGCTGGACGCAGAGCGAGAAGTTAAGGTCTAACTGACTTCCACTCCACGACGTTCCGGCTTCTGCCGGGCTCCCCGCTTGTCCCCCGGCCTCGGCAGGGACACGTGTGCCTTCCGGGCCAGGCCCTCCCCTCCCATGGTCACGGTCAGGCCCCAGGGATGCCACTCTGGCGGTCACTTGGCAGCGGGTGGGCCCAGGCCAGGGTGGGCTGCCCTGCCCTCCTGAGTTGAGGCATCTCACATCCTGTGCCCGGCGGCCCCACCGCTCTCGTCCATTTGCCCTGAAAGCCATTCCCAGGGAGCCAGGGCGCCCATGGAGATGAAGTGCCCTGCAGCCTGGTCCCTGTGACAGCAAGTGGACTCCAGGGAGGGCGGAACCTGCAGAGGACAGGCAGGCTGGGCAGGGGACGCTCTTGCCGCAGGGAGCCCAGGGCTTCTAAAGGAGGACAGGCTCTGGGGAAGAAAGGGGAAGCAAGGTCCGGGAAAGGAGATGAACCCAGGGCGGCCAGAGGCTCCAGAAGGGAAGGGAGGTGCCTGGGGGCTGTGCCGGGCAGGTCTCTCAGCCACCCGGCTGTATGTGTCCTAGTCTCTGTCGTCCCTGGGACTAAGCCAACCCCCTCCAGCCAGCACCCAGCTGCTCAAGCCTCCTCTTTCATCCTGTAAATGAGGATTTCCCCAATAATCCCCCAAATGAACCCACCGATCATCCCCTGTAATCTAAGCGAAGTCACTAACCCTCCAAGTTCTCCCTTTATCCCAGAGCAGTCCTTGCTGGCAGACAGCGTCCTGGAAGTCAGGTCTGAGGGGGCCGCTCCGCTCTTAGGGAAAGTTTGATGTATGTCTCCTCCCATCCTACAGACCCGTGAGCAGCTGCAGGCGGACGTGCAGAGGGCGCAGGCGCGGATCGAGGACCTGGAGAAGGCCCTGGCCGAGCAGGGGCAGGTGAGCGTGTGGGCCTGGGCCCCAGGGTCCTGGGCTGCCATGCCCCCAGTGAGGGCGGTGGTCTGCGGGTGTGTACGTGGGTGAGGACTCTTCGTCTGCACGCTGAAGACTCGCTCCCCAGCTCCCTCTGCTGTGTATATATCACACCTCAGTAAAAGATTTAAAGGCGGAAGCAATGTGTATTTGGAAGATTTCCACAGTATGCCCGGAACGAGGCACGAATTCTCCTGACCAAGCCTCTCTGGGCTTGACCGGAAGTCCCATCCACCTCCTTGCTCAGGGCCGGGAGCCCAGGCCCCAGGGCTTTGTCATCACTCCCCCAGTCCCTGGGACTGCCGGCACCTCTGGGCTCCTCAGATCCCAGGGAAGGGCCTCTGTCTGTGGTCTCTGAGCAGCCCCCTGACCTGTGGATGGTCCAGCTGCAGCTGGACGCAGGATGAGGCCAGAAGACGTCTATGGGGGCTGGGAGGGTGCGGGTGAGAGACGGCCTGGCTCGCAGCCGAGCGCAGCGCAGACCCACAGAGGCCCTGGGGTGTCAACTGCTCGGTGCACGGCTGGACGGACAGGGCAAGAGCCTGAGTGACAGCCCGGCCTTGGTGCCACATCCTCACCTGAGTGTCTGGGGCCCCGAGTCCAGTGCGGAGGCCCCTGCAGTCACCCAGGACCACACCTGTCCTCTCCACGCCAGCTCAACCCCCTGGCTCCCGCTGGCTATGTGTCGGGGTCCTGTGGCGTCCTGTGGCATCCATGTGGACCTGTGGCATCCTTGTGGGCGCCTGGCCTTGGCTCACACGAGCCTGGGTGCCATCCACTTCTATTTGAGACCCTCCAAGAATACAGATGAACCTGGGTTTTCATCAGCCACGGGACAGGCGCTCCACTCTTGGTTACTTCGGAAGCTGGATGTTGAGTGCTTTCACCACGTCCTCTGTCCTGCTGAACCGTGATGTAAATCACAGCTGTATCCTTCACTGCATTTATTTCTCGGCTTCAATTTCCTTTTCAAGGATATGAAGTGGATTGAAGAGAAACAAGCACTGTTTCGGAGAAATCAGGAGCTGGTGGAAAAGGTACACCCCCCCCATCCCATCTGTCTGAGAGGCGGGCTGCTTCCCTGGAAAGGCAGGAATCCCCACATGCCCACCCGCTGCCCAGGGCTGGGGACCCACCCAGTCTCTGCCGGAAGGCCCTCTGTGGACTCACCCTGGAGGGAGGGCTCTGGACGGGGCCCTGGGCCAGGCAGCTGTCCCTGAAACGCCAGCAGCTGTCAAGGAAGCCGGGTTGGCCTCCAGGGTGCCTCCTGTTCTTTGTTTTACAGATTAAACAAATGGAGACCGAAGAGGCTCGGCTAAAACACGACGTCCAGGATGCGAAGGACCAGAACGAG